CAGCTAGAAATACCGTATCTTCAATCCGCGAAAAGCTGTCCTCAATAACACGAGGGATCATCGAAGAAACGCTTTAGAAAAGCGTGTGGGAAGTCGACAGCTGAGCTTCTGCGACAGCGAGAAGATGAAGCCAACAGAGGCACTGAAAGACACTTGTTGCTTCAAAATCATGCGAAGCTACCCAGAGGGAATGAAACGAGACCAAGGTTCATGTCCAGAATCGAATACATTAGACGAGAAATCTATGATCACCCGGTGAACAANTGCCGGAATGACTGAATCGGTTTGGCTGTCGGCCAAAAGATGAAGTGTCTTCTGCGTGAGAAAACCGCTAGAAGAAATATCGCACAACTGAGTGACCGGTAGCGGAGGGCATATCACTCTGGTAGGGTCCATCTGCCGAAGAAGAGTCGCTACATAGTATGATGACTTTGTCAGTACTATCAAGGTGATTCATCCTGTACGAATTGAAGATGGAGGCTTCAGAGGTGATCAGCCGAAGCAGTTAAGCCAGCAGCGACCCGGCCTCTATGAGGTGTCCTAGCATTCACTTGTAAGAAGACAATGATCCCATACCGTGAGCCCCTACAAGGCTTATCAAACAGAATCAGCCTGTAGCTCACTTTGCCTGTGGAGATGGCGGAGCAGCTATGAAATGCTCGAATACGCAAGTTTCACGAACTGTTCGAGGGTCCAATTTATGCTCGATGGGAGATAGACTGACGCTACGAAGGAAACTGAGGGACCCAACTCAATTCCACTGTCGGTCTAGACCTATTGTAACGGATGTCATTCAGATGATACGAAGAAGTCGTGAAACAAAGCGAAACCGCACCTAGTTGTTGCGAAGGCGTGAATGAGAAACTGGAAGGAAGAAGGGTTCAAGACATTCAGGAGTTCGACTACGTTCAATACCAAACAACACACTCGATGAAGGAAGGAAATCGGGAATCCCGACGTTGTTTGTTGTCGCATTCGCTGAGACGTCGATGATCAGCTGAGGTGGGCACTTTGATCAATAGGGTGGTCTGTGTTAGGGCAGCCATCGAATGGATCCTTTGAGACGGCGGACGAAAGAAGGACACGGTCATGGTTGGAGCGTCGAGCTAAGATTTTTAGGGAAGCTCAGCCTCGGGATTCTATTTCCATCTACACTAACCCCTGACTAGGATATATGGGGGTGAGGCTGAGAAGGGCTCGAATGATTGAACTTCCGGTCAACTGGACGACTTGCAAAGCAGACGATGGAGAAATCTGTGGATGAAATGAGAGAAGAAAAGCCGGAAAAAGCAGTCCTCATACTCGGACGGAACATATTGCTCGAAAACGAAGCTTGAAGAGATGTTTTGAGTTCCTTTCAAATCCATGAGTGCTTCCAAAGAAAACGAAGTACGTCGGACTGAATCNCTAACAGGTCATGTTTCTAGGTGTTCTAGTCCGACCTCAAAGAAGGGAATCAATAGAATTTTGCTCAGTCAAGAAGCCGAGCGCTTCAGAAGATTCCGTTTGAAGGGCCTTCTTCGATCCGAATAAAATTGGAATTCTCCACGAAGTAGGCGACATTTCAGAACATTTGGAATTTTTCAAACTTGCGTCTGTCGCACTATCAAAGCTGGGCTTGCACGGTTTACTTCTATCTTCGTACGGCGGGGTAAGGTAAGGACACAAGAGAGCGTATGACCCTCTTCCTTCTCTCAGGGTTCAACCAACATCCTGGAATTACTCCCTAGTAAAAGAGGAAGAGTAAATGGTTGACAGCAACAGGGCATTCGCTATTCTCAATCCTTTGGCATATCGTTCGAGCATAACGGTCCAACAATGTTAAGAAAACGTGAAAAACCTCATCTAGTTATCCCAACTTTACTGAAACCCCTATAGAGTAAAGTACTTCTGGGCGATAATATTTCCACCTAAACCTGTCTGATCCATACTCAACTACCTGAGTGGAGGCAAAGGCATCCCAACGCCACTTGCTATGCCATACCCCGTATGGCCTATCTTAGAAAGCAGTAGTGTCCCTTGAAACAGATCACAGTGAGCACCAACATTCCATATAATGAAAATGCCCTACCTAAACGCTTTCTATCTTTTTTTTTTATGAATTTAGACTGATACCCAACTACAAATGAAAATTATGCTGCTCGCCATCTCCGTGCTACCTAGGGTTCACATTAGCAACACATTTGAATAGATTCTTTCGATCCTTCCTGCCTCGACTACACCTGTCAAGTCATTTCGAGTCGGACAATTCACTTGTACCTCCCTAAGAGTTCTACTTAAAAGTTGACAGCACTGATTGCCTAGTTCATTTTGATAGATAGTTCTTCCCTCGCCCTTCCCTTCACCTTCAATACCCACGTCAACAACTTGGACTCGAAGGTTTTATCACAAAAATCTAACTAGTCAATCAGTCCCACCCCGATCGCTTTGAGTGTAGTTTGAGTGGACCTTGACGCCTACCCGTTCACTCAGTCATAGTACAAGGCCATTCGCGAGCATGTGGAGCCCATAGAGCTGTTACATCACCCCAATGTCTAATAAAAAGGTGCTTATACACAACTTGAATCCCATGGATTTCCCTGGAATGGCGACGAGCAGAAACAATCTCCAGGAACTTATCAATTCGATCGCAAGTTATCATCATTGGTCGAGACTTCTCATCTGGCTCAGGGGATTGCTTGGCCGAAGAGCAGCATATTTTTAGTGTCCATTATCCACCCTACTGACGCACATCTTTCAATTTGTTGAGTAGATTAGTTCTACCCTCAATATTCTACTTTTTGAGTTTGGGAGTACTCTAACTTATCTTTAGCTATCGTTTATGCGCTGGCCAAACGTCTAAATTTCTTCCAAAAACGAAAAAGCAATTTTGAGGCAATTCAAAAGCACATCACAATTGAACTATCGGTATATCTGAATTCGAAAAAAATCTTACTGCACTGAAAACTTTGTTAGCAACTGAGAAACTCACCTCATGCGATGACACAATCCCTCCAGCAAAGCGTCTGAGACGTGGGGTACTTGAAGCAATGGATGGAGTCGGACAAGCCATCGGTAAATTTCTGATCATTCAAAGAGAACGTCATGCAGTGAGATTGGCAAAATTCCAGAACGCTTCACCCGAAGAGCCAAACTATGAATCTTCTGCGTTCTCCTTGTGAGTGATATGACTTCAATGCTCTAAACTCCAAATAAGAAACTACCTCACAAGAAAAGTTCAGGAACTAAACGAACCAATTATTTCCAACAAAATTACCCAAAGTCTTGCGGGCAACACTACAAGGAAAAAGCCTGCTGTTGAGGATAACGAGCGCTATCAACCCTATGGCAGCCATTACGAGCTTCGAAGTTTACCATTCCCTTCACATTTTATCACTTACATTCACTCTGGCAAAAGTGCTTTCTGACGAAAATCTTGCTAGTGTCGTGCAATCGCTGAACAAAAGTTGTAGGTGAACGTTTCGATCGAACCTTTTCCATGCAAATATGTAGAAAGATCGATGACATGTGCCTGTAGTGCCCGTTGATCTCGCGAAAGTTCGATAGGAAATGACGGTGTATATTGGTGAGTTCGAAACCCCGCCCACTGCTGTTCACGGAGCAAGGTTACATGACCAGATCTTGTAGGAGGTTCCTTTCTGAAGCGAGTGGTGCCACGAACACAACTGTCACGAGCATCGGCCGTATGAGCCGTCACAGTCGCATTGGATTGGATAGTGACACAAAGGAAGTTACCAGTACTCCAAGACGTGCCCTCCCTGGGACCTCGTAAGTCGAGTCCATCGGCGGGAAACAATGCGTGGGGATTCATTGCGGAAGGTTTAAATTCTTCAGAAGGTACATGACCTCCTGTATTCCCAGAGAAAACTTAGGGTGGGTATAACAGAGTGATTGATTGGTGTGGGCACCTAGACTAAACTATCCCTTAACCTAGCCCCGAATCACTTCGAATCAATTCCCTAGTCGCTCTTCCCACACACGCTCGTCTCAGCCCATCAAAATCTGCTGCCATCACGTTGCACTTCGGAAGAAAAAGAGCAGCCACCCTCTAGCAAACGAAGCTAAAGTATCATAAAGGGTTGGGTAAATCAAAAAACCATGGAGCCCATCACCCAATAATACGAACCCAGTGTTATGAAAACAAAAACAAAGGATTCCAGGAAAAAATTAAAACCGCCAGTGGATTACCACATCCTTACCTTTTCCACTTCCCCCGACACCGCCCCGTCTCTCCTTGCTCCCTCCCCTCTACAGGAACCTTTTCTACGTGCCCCAACACCGTCCCTCCTTTCCTTGCCCCCTCCTTTTCGCTTCCCTCCCCTCCCTTCACCGGTTCCCCTTGTCATTTTGATTTGATACCAAATATGAAAAATGGTGCAAATAAGAATTTGGCCGCAATCTTCCTTCCGAGCACATGGTGAGTGCAGTAGTTATTTGACGTCAAGAGACCTGAGTTAGGGAGGGACCACCAGGGTACTGCTAATCAGTCAGTAATTAGTAACCCCCTAAACAATGACAACAGATAATTAACTACAGAAAAATACCTACTAACTATCAAAAAACAAATAACTATAAAAATCGAATTAGTCATAGTCATAGTCAGTTAGTTAGTAAAATAGGGTACTTTAATATGGAGCCCTACACAACCTAAAAATTGCCTAACGCCCGACACTAACCAATCACACCTGTATATCTCAAAAATATTCCTTTGACAGCTTCTGCGTCCGCTTGTGGCCAACGACACGCTCATCCTGCAAAAATAAACGATAAGGACTAGAAAACAGGCTCAAGAATCGAATTAACCCACTCTTCCGTAGGTCGCTTGCTTTAAAAGACCAATCCTCGCCGTTGTCTTCACCGGAGCAGTCCCTGCTTTTGACTTTCTTCGTCGAAGAATCCGTAGGTGAGAACAATATCCAATTTGATGTGCTCGCATCATGACATTGATGGTTCCTCCATGTATGATCAAATCCACAGCTGGTTCGCGCCCATCCAATCATTTATCGAATATGGATAGCGTGCCATTCCAGAAAATAGCTGGCTAGGTGGACGACGAATGGACGGCAGATGCCTTGCAGAAAGCCGAGCCTACCTGAATCACCTGTTTGAGTTAATATACACAGCAAAAGATGACAAGCAGTGCGTACCCCTGATCCCCGATCGGATCGCCCATAAGTGGCTGCTACTCTGCTGAACTTTCGGGACCTGAGTGGACCAGAAATGGGCCGATGTCGATAAGGATGGCGTCAACCTGAATTGAAGCAATCACCGTAGTCATAAGAAAAGGCGTTCGACTATGGTTTACCTTTGATCCCTGATCGGATCGCTTGACACACAACTGTTCCAATAGCGTCGACCCGTCCTTGCGGTTCCAAACATATCCAAATCCTGGTAGACGAAAGGCTCCACGGTCTGGAGAAATGTTTCCACTCTGAGACTCCATAGAAAAAGATTATGCCCGCCTCAATGAGGACGGCATCAAGCTATTTAGAGCCATGAAAATCTAGAGGTAGGGAAGTCGCTCAATGATCACGCACCATCGATCCCCGCTCGGATCGCCTCACATAAAACCGTTCTACTAAGCCGATCCATCCTCGTAGTATTCTCCATATCCATAGTTGTTGGTAGACGAAAGCTTCACAGTCAACTTGGCAAATGTACGTTCCAGACACAGAACTACGTAGACAAGGAATGGGATCGTATCGATGAGCTCGGTTCAACCTAAATTGAAAGCAATGTGAAGCGAGACGGAAATATCGTTCAGTGGTCTCCCACCTTCGATCCCTGTTCGGATCACCTTACAACAGAATTGTTCTAATAGGTCAATCCGTCCTCGTAGTCTTCTCCGTGGCTCACTGGCTGTTGGTAGACGACAGGCTTCACGATTGGTTCGACAAATGTACGTTCGAGTCGCAAAATTCTGTAGACAAGGAATGGGCCCACGTCATTAAGGATGTTGTCAGCCTGAACTGAAAGCCGTAACAAAGACACTTGAAAAAGACGTCCATTTTGACGTACATCTGATCCCCGTTCGGATCGCTCTACAACGGAATCGTTGGAATATCGGAGCGGCATTCAATCTTCTTCCTCGCCATGCCTTGAAGTTCTGGCACGCTTCGAAATAAGTCCCGAGTGGCAACCATATCTGCAAAGATGAGAAAGAGAAACGAACTTGAAGTTGACTCAGGATCGTGCGATGCGGTGAACCATTGCTCGTGTTCTCCTTCTTATTCATGTTCACCCTAGCGCTAATCCCGCGTCGTCGCACGGTCCGCTATTCTTACGAGTTGTCTCCTCTCCTGTCAGAATTCCTTCCATTTACGGCACCTTCTACCGTTACTGCAGCTTCGGTGAGGTCCTATCGATCACGTCTCGCCAACTCTTCTCTGGGGTTCCTGCTGGTCATTTCCTTTGAGCCTTGAACTCTATTGCCTCCATTATAATTCATTGCTGATGTTATACGAGACCAATTTCGATCGGACATTTAAGCGAGGCATTTTTTATGATGTTCTCGTGGAGGTCGTCCAACCTCGACAGCTTCTAATGACTCGTAATAGTAGTTAGGATCCGACAACTTTAACAAGTTTAGAGAGAAGCACGAGGAAGTTGGCTAGGGAGTTGAGAGATTCTAGTCGAACGATGACACGAATAATGCATTATAGACATCGGATGCGCTCTCATAAGTTTCAAAAAAGACGCTCTTTCGGACGCTCAGAGGAAATGAAGAGTCGAAAAATGCAGAAGGTTTCCGGAGTGAATCGCAAACGATGCGCACTTGAAGATCTTCAACTTTTTCAGTTGAGCATATGTTCAAAAAGTTTCGCAGGTGAGGAGACCACCAAAACTCCCGAGTACTCTCCGAGAAATCCGAAGAAGCTGGTAGAGCAGAAAGGATAGTCACTCAAAGTTCACATCTTGCATTGGTAATGGTTTGAGCAACAGTATCCGCAAAACGGACTCCATTAATTTCCGTGGAAGCGGCTGAAAATCGATGCTAGTCATTATCTCAAGGAATTTCCGAAGAGGGTCGTTAGCAGCTGAACTTCCGAGAACGATTGCGTTTTCCAGCAAGATGGTGTGTCAGTTCATCGTTGGTCCAAAAGTGGTGCCGTGCAAGTCAACCGACTTCATAACAGCAGAAGACTGACCCTCTCATTCCCTTGATTTGATCGTAATGGAATACTCGATTCGGTCGGTTCTGGAGCTGAAGGCCTGTGCAAAAGCAGTTCCGCAGAATCGCGGAAAGCTGCTCTACATGGGATGAAATTCCACGTAATGGCCAGTTTCGGGTAGCTTACGAAGTCCATCCGTCTTGTTTCAAGGAAGTTATCAAATCCAGAGGAGGTCATACGAGTGATATTGTAAATTCTTGATTGTTATGATATATGTAGGCGTTTTTGTTGTTTATACCAAATTTCGGTCAGAAAAGCTGAAGATACACCGAGACTATTTAGTCATCGCATTCATGACCCCTCCCCCCTGTATTCATGATTAGTGAAGGCAAGTCACCTATAGAGGAGTAAAGAGGCCCCCATAAAAAGACAATGCCTCACCGCTACGCTAGACCCTGAGCCAACTCATACGTGACTGCCATACAAAAGAAAATAAAATTGAGACTGCTTCCACGCTTCTGCCGCTAAACGGATATAATGCCAAAATCGATTGATGTGTTGAACGTCAATGGAGAGGGCAGAAACGTGGAATTTGCAAAAAAATAATCTTCAAAGCTGCGCTTAGTGTGGAATCCTCGTCTTCGTTGAGATCGCAGGTCCTTTCTGCATCGTATGCCCCCATAAAAAGACAATGCCTCACCGCTACGCTAGACCCTGAGCCAACTCATACGTGACTGCCATACAAAAGAAAATAAAATTGAGACTGCTTCCACGCTTCTGCCGCTAAACGGATATAATGCCAAAATCGATTGATGTGTTGAACGTCAATGGAGAGGGCAGAAACGTGGAATTGCAAAAAATAATCTTCAAAGCTGCGCTTAGTGTGGAATCATCGTCTTCGTTGAGATCGCAGGTCCTTTCTGCATCGTATCCTCTGCTTTAGTTGATGGGCAGCCTCGATGGTTGTGTAGTCCTGTGCGTGTTGGCCATTGGTCCCTTGCCTGGTTGGCTGGTCCTTCGCGTAGGTGACTGGATGATCCTCTGTCTGGTTGGCTGCGCGGTCTTCTGTGGGGTTGACTGCCCCCACAGAAG